TGTTTCTAATTTTAGTGATATTACTCAGATGGAAGAAGGCAGTTCTAGTAACGTTTTTAATGTGGGGGATAAAAGACATGTCCTGATCAAAAATAACACCAAGATTTTTAACATTAGAGCTGGAGGACAGATTAATGCCATCTAAGGAGGGAGAAAGACTGAAACATTCATTCCTAAGGTGCTCAGGTCCAAAAACCAAAACCTCAGTCTTGTCTGTTCAACTGGAGAAAATTAAGGGTCATCCAGGTTTTTATGTCTTTAAGACATGCTTGTAGTCTAAGTAGCTGATTGGGTTTATTGGACAAATAAAACTGTGTATCATCAGCATAACAATTGAAATTTATCCCATGCTGTTTAATAACTTTACCTAATGGAAGCATATATAAAGTAAAGAGTATTGGCCCAAGCACTGAGCCCTGAGGAACTCCATGACTAACTTTGGTATATGAAGAAGATTTATTATTTACATTTACAAACTGGACTCTTATCAGATATATATGATTTAAACCACTTTAGAGCCGTTCCTGTAATCCCAACATCATATTCAAGCCTCTGTAGTAAAATATTGTGATCAACTGTATCAAATGCAGCACTGAGGTCTAACAGGACCAGTATAGACACAAGTCCATTGTCTGAGGCCATGAGAATATCATTAGTGACTTTTACTAGTGCTGTTTCTGTGCTATGATGAGCTCTAAACCCTGACTGAAACTCTTCAGATTATTTCTTTGTAGATGTTCACGCAACTGACCTGCAACTATTTTCTCTAGAATTTTTGAGATGAAAGTTAGATTAGATATAGATCTATAATTGGCCAGAATTTCTAAATCAAGGTCAGACTTCTTAAGTAAAGGTTTAATTACAGCAACCTTAAAGCTCTGTGGTACATAACCATCCATTAAAGACAAATTAAGTAGATCCAAAATGTGGACATTAATTAGTGGAAATACCTCTTTAAACAGTCTGGTTGGGATGGGATCTAGCAGGCATGTGGATGGGATCTAGCAGGCATGTAGATGGGATCTAGCAGGCATGTGGATGCTTTGGATGAGGTTATTATTTTTGACAATTCAGAGCTCAACAGGACAAAAACTGTCCAAACATAAATCAGGCTCTAGTGAAATTCTTAAAGTTGCCTCATTTCACAGGGGACTAGAGATAGTAGAAGGAAGGATGGTTTGAATTTTCTCTCTAATTGAAATAATTTTATTTATAAAGAATCTCATGAAGTCATCACTACTTATAGTTGTAGGGATACATGGTTCAACAGAAATGGGACTTTTAATTAGTCTAGCAATAGTACTAAACAGAAACCTAGGGTTATTTTTATTCTCCTCTATTAAAGATGAGTAATATAAAGTTCTAGCTTTATGGAGAGCTTTTTTATATGTTAGCAGACTATCTTTCCAAGTTAAATAAAATTCTTCAACATTAGTAGAGCGCCATTTTCTCTCCTGGTTTCTAGATGCTGCTTTAAAGTACGTAACTCAGAATTGAACCATGGAGCCAGTTTCCTCTGATTGATTACTTTATTTTTCAGTGGATCAATTTTATCAAGTGAAGTTTGCATTGAAGTTGTAAGATGATCAACTAGATGATCTAAGTCTCTGTTCTCTGATGCATTACTCTGCAAGACAGAGGAAAACATTGATGGAAGAGATTGTTTCAATTTGGTTACAGCATTTTCTGATAAGCACCTGCTGAGATGAAATTTACTCTCAGTGACTGTGTAGTCATTTAATGTAAACTCAAAGTTATTAAAAAATGGTCGGACAGAACAGGATTTTGAGGAACTATTACCAAGTCCTTAATCTCTATACCATAGGTCAGAACTAAATCAAGAGTGTGATGATAAGAATGAGTAGATGTGTGGACGTTTTGGGTAAAACCAAATGAGTCTATTAAATTATTAAAGGATATGCTTAAACTATCACTTTCAACATCTACATGAATATTGAAATCACCCATTATGATGATTTTATCAGTATTTAATAATAAGTCAGTTAATAATTCTGAGAATTCAGACAAAAACTGAGAGTAAGCGCCTGGTGGACGATATATAACAACTAGTAAAAGTGGCTTTTCTGATTTCCATTTTGGATGAGAAAGACTGAGGGGCAGCGATTCAAAAGAATCATAACTAATAACTGGTTTGGCATTAATCAATAATCCTGACTGAAAAATAGAAGCTGCTCCTCCACCTCGGCCAGTTGTTCTAGGAACATGAAAATTTAAATAATTAACAGGAGTGGATTCATTTATACCAACAAAATCCTCCTGTTGTAGCCAAGTTTCTGTCAGACACAATAAATCAATATGATGATCAGTTATCAGTTCATTAACTAACAGGGATTTACAGGAAAGAGATCTGATGTTCAATAATCCACATTTAATGATTTTATGATTTTGCTCTGGTAAAGTAACTGTGTTTATTTTAAGCAGATTTTTATGGTTTATATTTTTAGAGCTGATTTTTGGTTTATGTAATTTGAGCCGTGGGCGAGTTGACACTGTTTCAATGTGGGTGTGGGTGGGTAACAGAGGAGAAGCAGCAGAGAGGTGGAGGACTACAACTCTGCTTCCTGGACTGGACCCTGGGTTGTCAATAATTTGGGGGATAAACAAAATCAGCCATATTTCTAGAAAGAAGAGCGGCTCCGTCCAAAGTGGGATGGATGCCATCTCTCCGCATCAGACCAGGTTTTCCCCAGAAAGAACTCCAGTTATCTATGTAGCCCACGTCGTTGTCAGAACACCACCTGGACATTCATCGGTTAAACGACGACATACGGCTAAACATGTCATCGCTGGTCAGGTTGGGGAGGGGGCTGGAGAAAACTACAGAGTTCGACATGGTTTTAGCAAAGTCACACACTGAAGCAACATTAATTTTAGTGACCTCCGATTAGCGTAACCGGGTGTCATTACTGCCGACGTGAACAACAATCTTACTGTATTTAGCCTTAGCCTTAGTCAGCAGTTTCAGATAAGATTCTATGTCGCCCGCTCTGGCCCCCAGAATGCATTTGACTATGGCCACTGGAGTCCCTAAAGCCACGTTTCGGAGTATGGAGCTGCCAATAACTAGGGTCTGTTTCTCAGCGGGTGTGTCACTGAGCGAGGAAAATCTATTAGAAACGTGGTGAACTGGGGGCTTAGGCTTAGCACTACGCTTGCTCCGGACCGTCACCCAGCCGGCCTGGGGTCCCGGCTACTCGGGGTCTGCTGGAGGACAGCTAACGGGAGCTAGCCTCTGTGGTTCCGCGCTGTCTAAGGGCACCTGGCTAGTTACTGGATTTTCTACAGCACGGAGCCGAGCTTCCAGTTCAGACAGCCTCTCTTCCAAAGCTACCATAAGACTACATTTGTTTCATGTATCATTACCACTAAAGGAGGCAGAGGAATAACTAAACATCTGACACACGGAGCAAGAGAATACAGAGGAAGCAGGGAGAGAAGCAGCAGCCATGCTAAGCTAACGCTAGCAGGAGCTAGCAGAGCCAAATACACCAATAAAAAACGAGAAGTGTTGAAAGAGAAGAGGTGTGTTAAGCACTATCCAACAGTAGAAAAACAACTGTACTAAGTGTGTTTGTGAACTAGAATGAAAAACTGTGCAAAAGACAGATAAATCCAGAAAACAAGAGATGACTCGAACAAACAATTCACTCGAGCTACCAACAAACAAACAGGAAGTGACACATTACGTCTCACCACGAACGTGCAACGTCACACCACAAGGAGGCAGCCTTCGAGTACAGAGGAGAAACATTAAACCTGATGTCTTCATTTTCAACTTTAGTGTTCAGCAATATGTTTAGCATCATTTTAAATTTGAATTACATAATGTCCAGATAGCTTCATTTAGCTCAGAGCTTCATTATATCTCACACTAACATAAATACTGTTTGTTATTGTTAAACTTATTATTTAGCACATTTAGATGTTATAGTGCAGCGCGACCTGTACGTGTGCCTCGTTCTATAAACAGCGACATCAGAACTGGATCAGACTGTGTCTCTTCCAACACAGATGTCGGTCACAGCACCTGGAATCTGATGTAGATTAACTACGAGATTAAAAATATATTCCATCAGTCCAGGTTCTGAAAGCAGTGTATCCGCCGCCATGTTGATAGAAATATAGCGCCTGTCCGCGTGTGCGCATGTGGTTTAACACAAAGCCTCAGTGGGAGATGTTTACATTATCAGCGGGGGGGGGGGGGGGGGGGGTGTCAGAGAAAAACCTCCACTCTTGAAGGTGGGTTCAGAAACCTCCGGATTCAAAGAGGGGGGGCCACTGTTGTCGTGTAGATGATCAGCAGAACCGCAGAGAGGAAGCTGCGGATGCTCTCAAAATATGTGCCGTGTAAACGGCCCCTAAAGAGACTGAGCTGAATACAGCACCTCAGACTGAGGAAGTCGTTTCTACATTTTTTTGTTGTTTTGCTTTGTTTAGTTTTTTTGAATGTCCAGAGGACCAGATTTAACTTTTTTGGATCGTTCATTTAAAAGAAACAAAAACAAAACCATCAAAAAGAAAAAAAACATTGAATGAAAAGAGTGCAGAACGAAGAAAAAAATTCTTATATCTGCCCCTTGTTAAAAAAATAAAATAACTTTAAACAAAAGATTTTTCTACCTGGATTATTGAGCATGCATCAGGATATTTTAAACAAAATCGTTTAAAAAGAAACATGTTTTGTGTTAGCAGAATTTAATTCTAACTTTAAAACTTATCCAACATTAATAAAACTTACCTCAAGTTGCCTTTTTGGACATGCATGTATAGATTTGTACAAATTGTACTTGACAGGAGATTATTACAGCCTCATATCAAATCAATACTGATGATGATATCGGAAAGGTATCAGTATCGGCCGAAATAAAAAAATGTGGATCGGTGCATCCCTAATACAAAGTACTTGATGTTTTGATCACATGGAAGGGATTTTGAGAGAACACTGGTGATTTTTGTTGCATTGTGTGTTTATTATCCAGATATTCGTGAGGTGTTTGCACATGTCCTGTCAGATCTAAGGATCCCATACACTCGTGTTCCAGTGGAACCAGGTTTACAGAACTGCCCGTGGCTACCAGAACACCTCCAAAGTTTTTACATGCAGGTGGAAAAAGATGCTCTGGATTCCATCCCTGTCTTCCAACGCTATGGAATCAGGTATGTTTTAATGTGTGTCTGGTTTTCTACGTCTTTCTTTGTTCAATGTTTTCCCTACCATTATACAAGCGGGGTGCCCCTCCCCATCAACAGAACTGAGCACCCCGCCTACCAAACCGAACTTGCCCCCCCCCCACCTCCCCGCCCAGCACTGACATAGCACTAAGCTAGCGGCGCAAAATACAGGCTCTCTAGCTAAAAAGCTAAAGGCAGCACTCACATTGCCTCTTCCTTCAAGCTGAACACCCCCTGCCCCTACTCAAAAACTGCTGCACTCAGACATGTGTCCGTCCCCTCGTCAACAAAAATCATGGATGAGATGAGCACCCCACCACGGCAAGTTAACTAGGGGAAACACTGAAGTTACCTCTGATTTTTGTCATGATGTTGTTGGAACCATAATTGTGAAATGTTTCTTGGACTTTGGCAGCTTCAGTGTAGATTTGCATATTAAATATGAGTCAATTAATATGAGTCATCCAAATGTATCAGAAGCATAATTTTAAGGGTTCACACTTTCTCTGGTCCTCCTCGAAAGTCAGAAGTCACACGTGTGATGTAGTTGATAGTCTTTCTCAGTCTAGTCACTCCTTATGGTCTATCCAGTTCGCCCCCTTTTTCATGCTCGAGCAAATTACAAATAGACAGCTGCCTCAAATAACTGTTCTATCAGCAACAAAACAACCTACAACTCTACAAACAGAATTAGCAAAATGTTAGGCATATCTTATGATCTGCAGGTTATGCTTCATGATTGTTGAAGCTTTTTATGACAAACATTATGTAAGGCACAAAGGTGTTGATTTTATTTTATTGATAACTGTTGTTTATTTTTTTTTCAGCCTAAAGGACATTACTGACTGAAGGATATAGCCTAATCAAACCTTTAAAGTGGCACGTTCTTCTGTTTAACACGCACACACACCTGAGCCCTGGGTCCATCAGGAAGACCAGCTGCCGAATAGGCTAGAGAAACAGTTTTGCATAGCCAGTGAGACAAGCGCTGAAAAGATGACAGTTGACCTTGTGACTGATGTCTGAAATGAATTGTTACGTCCACCATGAACATAACATATTAAGGAGGACACAGGACACAAATAAGGAGGTTCAAACATTCAATTTATTAAATAAAGCTGCTGCTTCCTGTAAAAAAATGATTAGGAATCCCCAATTCCCATGTCCACCTACAAAACCCAAAAACCCAAAGTAGCAACTTAAAGATGGACCTGGTGGGCCGGCCACACAGAACAAAAGGTACCACAGCGGGCCAACCCTATACAGGGCTGTTGACGCTACTGGGCACCAGTACTACAAAAACTACAAAAAACTCTACTACAAAAGAAGGAGCAAAAACGGGGCTACCAGGCGAAAACACTACAAAAACATACACAAAGGTAACAAAAATTACCTGAGGTGGCTGGGACCACTGACAGCAGGCCACAGCTCCAGGACAAGAGAGAGACTCAAAACAGTGTGTCTCAGAAGGGCTAAAAAAACAGAGTGAGTCATTGACAGATGTGGTGGAGAGAATCCGGTGATTTCTCAAAATAAGTGTTTTTTTTGTTTTTTTTTTCCTGTGCGGCCTGGTATAAATTGACCCACGGCCCGGTACTGGTCGGCGGCCCGGTGGTTGGGGACCACTGCTTTAGACAGTGCACAAATGTAGTGAACTAGGCCTGATGTCAAAACCTTGACCTAAGGACCATATGGGACAGAAGCTGTAATTTCATTGATTTGAATCCAGAAATACAGGTTGACCCATCCTGAGACTTTCTTTCTTGAATTAATCAAGTAAAAGAAGACTACTTTCTATTATCATTACCATTTTACAAATGTTTTGATAATCAAATTGTGTTAGTTCAAACAATGTTTACATGTTGAAGTGAACTACTCATTTTTAAATCAACTGTGAAACAGTAATAACGATTTAATCCTCATTCAAAGAAGAAATCAGGTTAATGATGCATTGTCTGATTTTCTGTCTTCAGTGAGCAAGTGTGTAAGTTGGTCAAAGTTCAAGTTTCGGTCAACTGCAAGTTTACTGAAAAGAAATGTCATGTTTAACTTTTACAGCAAGATACTGGAGAAGTGACTCCACGAAGTCTGAATTCTTCATAACAATCTTCTGTCTGTTCTTAAACAATCTTAATCTTTTTCCTTGACTTTTCATAACACCTTACATCACAAAACACACCTCTGTTTTGGTCCATCGACCAATCAGAAACTCCCAAATGAACCGGAAATAGAGCCCTTTAAATGTTGGTACTTCCTAGTCCAACCTAGCAGTAGCTTTTTAGTTAGAGTTGTAGAAAGAGAAGAGTCAGCTGATGATGGAGAGTTCTGCAAGAGGTTCCACCTCCAGTTGGAGTCGGGTGGAGAGTTTGCAGCTCCAGTCGTTTGGGAGTAGATGAAGAAGTTCTGCAGTTCTGAAACTCAGCAGTTCCAGAGTTCATGAAGGCTGGAATTCAGGATGCTGCTGAAAGAAGATCAAACTGAACGAGAGAAGATCTGGGAATTATGAAACTTCTGTCCTGGATGACCTCACGACTCCCGAGGTTTAGCTGTTCTTACGGAGACGCTGAAAAGTGGCTCGAAGTGGAACTTTACGCCGGAATTGACATATCTTCAGAAAGGTAAAAAGTCGATCTTCAACCAAAGTGTACCGTTGGGACAAGCTGGTCCAAAGGAGCGTGTTGTTCTGGTTAAAACAGACAAATTCCCTCACACATCTCTCTCAACTTAAACTTCATCTTTCCATCTTTAAAATTCTTCTATCTGCTAAAAATCATTACAGATATTTTTAGAAATGTCTGAAGCAAAGTTTTTCAATCACCGCCGTGTGGTTAATAATCTGTTGTATTACTGGAAGTGAGAACAATCGCTGCATTGTTTACTTCCTGTAAACTGATTAATAAGCTGTCGTTATTTTCAATTTTTGCCAATTAATGTAAATGTGTGATGTGTTAAACTTGATTCTGTTAATAAATGACCCACTGTCGTTGGTGAGTCAAAGATAATTAACGTCTCACGTCCACATTTTATTAAATTCAGATGCACGTTATTATACAGTCCAGAAAAATGAAAGAATCCGTTTAATTTATGAATATATCATGCATATGTTCTACTACACAAATACGAGTGCTAAGTCCCATTGTGGAAGTAACGTAAAGCATAAAGCAACATCTGAGGTCATAGTTTGTGCACAAATGCGTTCACCCCCAGCAGTGGTGCATTCTGCAGGTTTCGAGAGAAAAATAGTTTGCAGTGGGTGTTTTCTCAGGTGGCCATCAGATCCACGTCCGCTTTCCGGAACTTGCTCCAGATCTGGAGGATTAGGTCCGGATTGTGGCTCCAATCTTTGTCCCTGGCCCCCTGCTGGACATAATATCTGCTCTTCTGTTTAGCACGCCTGGGATGTAAACTGCTCTGATGGAACGTAGATGTGTGTGCATCTAACAGAGTAGCTCTCTGGCCACGTCCAGAAGCTGAGCCAAGTGAACTTCCCCTTTGCTCTTTATGTAAGCTGCTGCGGTTCTGTTGTCCGTGTGGACCATAATGTGATGACCCCGGAGTAGTGGGGCAAAGTGTCTGATCACTTTCCCCATGGTAAGAAGTTCCACCTCGTTTATGTGGAGAGACGTGTGGGGTGGCCATCTCCCTCCCACTGTCTGTGACAGACACATCCCACCCACCCCCATCCAGAGAGGGACGCATCTGTGAACACGGAAACGAATGACGTCACTTTGACCAGGGGAACCCCTTCCATCAGGGTCTGGGGGTTTTCCCGGTGCCTCAGGTCTGCCCCTACCGACCAGGAAGTCATTCCGAACTTGTGGTGAGAGGGGTTGAGGTGCTGGTGATTGAACTATCTCTGTAGTTTCCTCATGTGGAGTAAACATAGCGGAATGACAACATGAGCCGCTGACTTCCGGTAAGATGGCACCCGTGTACATGGCTTGCAATCCACCTCTGCTGATGGTGTTCGGATTATTTTTGTTTTTTGCATTTCACATCTGTGACATCAACTTTCTGCTGGCGTATGACAGACAACAACTTTTGGATCTTCATTTTTCTGTCACTGAAGTCACTTATTTTGACCATTATCAGCGTACCTCTGGACCCCTCCCCCTCCTCCCCCCTGCTGGCAGACGTGCCAGCTTACCTCCGCTGCGCTCCTCACCTCCCTGCCCGGAGATCTTGCTTCAGATGCCAGGGAAAACGTGCTGGTCAGCTGGTGAAGCTGAAAGCTCTGCGCGCTGCATCTTACTCTTCAGCTGGTGGTCATGGTCTCCAGCTTCCCGCGTGCCCGGACCAGGTAACCAGCGGGAGTTGTCAGCCATTGCGCAGCCCGGAGCGACCTGGAGGGGCTGTTATTGAAAACCTGCGGCCATTAGCGCGCGCTAACTCCTCCGCTGCTGGCTCCACTTTGGACAATTTCCGGATGTGTTTGGTCAACGCAAGATCTGTTACCAACAAAACTTTTATCCTCAGGGACTACTTTCAAGAGCACGATCTGGACTTTCTGTGCATCACAGAGACTTGGATGTTTCCGGGTGAGTCCAGCGCCTTGACGGAATTACTGCCACCGAACAGTCTGTGTTTTAACGCCCCGCGGCCATCAGGCCGGCGCGGTGGTGGATTATTAACAATATTCAAATCAACTTTTGACTGTAAACAACTGCCCATCCCAGTTTCCCGCGCCAGCTTTGAGCTGAGCGTCTTTGAACTCGGACATTCACCTCCGACGTTATTTGCACTCGTCTACCGTCCACCTCGGTCTAAGGATTTCATAAATGAGTTTTCTGACTTCTTGGCTGAAATCACACCAAAATATGAGCATCTTTTCATTATTGGTGACTTTAATTTGCACGTGTGCTGTCCTGAGAAGCCCTTGGTTAAGGACTTTTTAGATTTATTGGACTCATTTAATTTAACTCAGCATGTAAACGGTCCCACCCAAGAGCGTGGACATACACTGGACCTTGTTTTAACTCATGATA